CTATTGCAGATGTTTGTTGCTTGTTCATCCCTCTGATGACGAAGACGGTCACAACAAATATATGGACACAGTCGCCTTGGAGGCGTTGGCAGCTGGGCCTTAGGATGAAGTCGAAACCATTGTATGGACTGAGACGCTATGAAAGCGTTGGGGGCTGGACTTCATGATGAAGTTGCCTACGTATCCCAAACATGGGAATCAAGCCTTACGTAGTTCCGGTTAAGGTACACTCGGGTATTTTAACCTTCACTGTTTTTTTTTAGGCTCTCACTTTTGCCAAGGCGCCCAATGCGGGTTTTCGACCTTACGAGCTTCTTTTCATTTTCTTTTGTTCGTTTCTTTTTATTTTCTTCTTTTTTATATTTTTCTATTTTTTTATTTCTTTTCTTTTCTTCTTTTTTTGTATTTTTCTCTTTTTTTTTGTATTTTTCTCTTGCTCTAACTTTTGCCTGGACCGCCCTTCCGGATTTTCGACCCAGCGAGCCTCTCAAAGGGTAAAAGTGTAGCAAGTCCATGCCAAATGGTTTCTTGAAATTGAAGCCTCTCTGTGTCTAGGAGAACGGCTGTTGCACTGATTTGCAGAGAATCCATCAGGGTTACTCTACGAGCTTCTTCCGGCGAGATCTACTCCTTCCGATTCGGCTTTGATGCTTCTTGATCGAAGGCTACCTAAAAACTGGCCACACAGGCCTTTCATGGCGTTTGTCCGTTGAACTTTCTGAACGTTCTGAACGGGTTCAAAGTTTGAAAACAAATAGGTTGAATCTTGACGCTGAGAGCGATCCTAGGTTGCGCAATCTCAAGAACGATTCCACACAGGTCTTCGCAGGGCCGCGTAAAACATTTGCTTTTGAAAGTTTTTAAGAAAGCGACGAATCGCTCGCGCCGAAGATAGTGTGGAACCAATCTGGATCAAGCCAGGGTCCTTCTCAGTACTCACGCCGACAAGCATGATTTCATTCATAAAAAGGCTTAGCATGCCTTTCTTTTCTCTCAAAATGATCAAAATTTTGACAAAACCCGAGGAATTCCTTCCTCTTCGTTTTCATCACCGCAGTATTCAAAAAGTTATTTTTTTTGAAAAACTTAGGTTAATGCAATGAGTTTGGCGCGTAGGAGAGCAGGCAAGATGTACTGTCAGCCCAATCAAATTTTCTGGCACTTATGCTGAAAGCAAGCATGAAGTTGAGATAGCAGCAGCTGTTTCATCCGGATCTGTTGGTGTAACTGGCCCCTCGGCAGAAACAGACTCAAAACAAAAACAGATAATAATTACAAAACAAAATGGTGTTCGGGACAACAACCCCAGAGTCACCGGGTATTATATACAACGGGGACTGACTCGATACAACCAGACAGACCCTTAAGCAAAAAAAGACTGACTCAAGACAAAGAGACAGACTCAAAACAAAAGACTGACTCGATATCCAAGCCAGGATTTACAAGACTCGGTTTCACCGATGCTCAAAATGCGTGCCAGACGCTTCATCCAAAATACACAAAACGTTGCCCGCAGGCGGTTCACTTTACATACTCGCAGTATCTGAGCCCTCGAAATCCAACAACTGAGTGGTGACGGGCTTGCCTGAGGTGGGTGGTAGGATAACCTTGTTATCAATCAAATCCTGCACTTCATGACGAAGGCGGGAACATCCATCGGTACTGTGACCGGACTGTTGATGGTACGCGCAGTACAAGGTAGCATCATGGGTGGCGGGGAGATTCTTCGGGAGTGGCCGGGGCTCCAAAGGCTTAAGATGCCCATTCTTCGCCAATATTAACAATGCCCTAGACAAAGGCATGTGGAGGTCGTGAAAGACCCTGCGCCCTCGGGGCAGGTACTTTGCAGTTTGAGGATTCTTGCCAGATGCACTGGCGAAAGGATCAGCTGGCGCTGCCTTGGCTTTTTGAACCTTCCCTGATGCAGGGTTGGGAACTACTGGAACTGTCTGGGCATGACGGGGCCCATCCCGGTTTTCTGTCTGGCTTGAACTGCCTTTGATCGGAGTGGGGAAAGCATCATCCACAGCTTTGATCACGATCGCAGATGTTTGTTGCTTGTTCATCCCTCTGGCTTTCAGAGCCTCGACTGCCCACAGCAGTTGTTCAATAGGATCGGCGTCTATCATTGCCTTGTCTTTTCCTTTGGCCTCAACCTGATCGAGGGTCTGGGTTGGTGCTGGCATGTCGTGGCTATAGCCGGAAGCCACCTCTGGCTGACTGAGCTCTATCACAATCCGCCCCAGTAGCGGGGGCTCCTGTGGTACAAAAGTCCCGGCATACAGCGCCGTTGACGGTGAAGCCGACATTCCATAGGCGAGGTCTGCCACAGACCTTTGGAGATCGCCTATCATCCCCATCAATTCAAAGGTGGTGGGCTCACGAGCCTGATATAACTGGGGAGCCCAAACCGGGTGCACAACAGGCGACCTAGGCGGGTATGACATACTGATATTGGCCTCACTCTGCGGAGCGGTCCCCTGCTCCGGTGCGGCTGTGATAACCACAATTTCTTCTGAACTTTGTGCCGCCATAAATCCTGCCTCAGCAA